GTGGTATATTCTAAAAGACGTTGTATAAACATGAAGACGTTGTATATACATGTACCAGGATACGTTGTTTGTGTGGAAGAAGTGGTATATTCTAAAAGACGTTGTATAAACATGAAGACGTTGTATATACATGTACCAGGATACGTTGTTTGTGTGGAAGAAGTGGTATATTCTAAAAGACGTTGTATAAACATGAAGACGTTGTATATACATGTACCAGGATACGTTGTTTGTGTGGAAGAAGTGGTATATTCTAAAAGACGTTGTATAAACATGAAGACGTTGTATATACATGTACCAGGATACGTTGTTTGTGTGGAAGAAGTGGTATATTCTAAAAGACGTTGTATAAACATGAAGACGTTGTATATACATGTACCAGGATACGTTGTTTGTGTGGAAGAAGTGGTATATTCTAAAAGACGTTGTATAAACATGAAGACGTTGTATATACATGTACCAGGATACGTTGTTTGTGTGGAAGAAGTGGTATATTCTAAAAGACGTTGTATAAACATGAAGACGTTGTATAAACATGTACCAGGATACGTTGTTTGTGTGGAAGAAGTGGTATATTCTAAAAGACGTTGGATAAACATGAAGACGTTGTATATACATGTACTAGAATACGTTGTTTGTGTGGAAGTAGTTGTATATTCTAAAAGACGTTGTATAAACATGAAGACGTTGTATATACATGTACCAGGATACGTTGTTTGTGTGGAAGAAGTGGTATATTCTAAAAGACGTTGTATAAACATGAAGACGTTGTATATACATGTACTACAATACGTTGTTTGTGTGGAAGAAGTGGTATATTCTAAAAGACGTTGTATAAACATGAAGACATTGTATATACATGTACCAGGATACGTTGTTTGTGTGGAAGAAGTGGTATATTCTAAAAGACGTTGTATAAACATGAAGACGTTGTATATACATGTACCAGGATACGTTGTTTGTGTGGAAGAAGTGGTATATTTTTAAAAGGCGTTGTATAAACATGAAGACGTTGAATATACATGTTCTAGAATACGTTGTTTGTGTGGAAGAAGTTGTATATTCTAAAAGACGTTGTATAAACATGAGGACGTTGTATAAAATATTTCCAATGGCTAAATCCAAATGGTTCACCTTTGATTCTTTGTTTCACAGGTGTCTCTCACGTTAACATTGCGGGGTGGTGTAATCATGACATCGATTATGTGTGAATATCGAATGAGAGACCCACCTCTGTAACCTACTTCCCTATATCCAGATCCATAGGAACATTTATCCAATTGCTCCCGCGCACGCATGTCAATACAATATTTAACACTGTTGTGTCAGGTGCAAGCTGGTACATTGTATCAAGACGTGGTAGAGCTTGGATTACCGCCATCGGTTTTGTGGATTACATCAATAATCTGCATGTAAGAAAATGTTTGTGACCACATAGAGTCTACATTAAGTGTTTTCTTAATCTACTGATTGATCTCGTTTTATTTCATGCGCGTTCCTCTGTCAACCTATTTTGCTGACAAAAACACTGAAGAGTGGGTATGGTTCAATGCCTGGGTGAAGCTTTCAAACAGTTTTAGACATGTGGAGATCATTTCCAAGTATGACGCATAAGTGACAGCAATTCCCTATTTAAATTTGTGCCATGTTTTTTTTCAGTTGAACAATTGCTTTGCCTTTGCATGGGTTTGTCACGGGTGCCACCGGTGGGGCAGGATACGCTAACTTTTTCGCGAACATCTGGTATCATCGCTATCAGTGATTCAGAGACACATGCTGATGAGAGAGTCGAAATAGTACAATCGACTCTGCTTGTACTGTTATGAAAGAGGTTTACAATATTGGGATAACAAAGAATGCATAAGTCTTGCCGTCTACCGCAGAATATTTACAAATGGAATCCTACACTGTAGATGATGATCATATCACAAGGAACGTCACAAATAACATGAAATGCCAGGATCGAGAACGTACCAGTAAGTAGGCGATATAATGGTAATAAAGCCTTATGTCTGACATATTAACGTTCTTGTTGCATTACTTGAATCTCTTATGACACGTACAATTCTTTAAAGGGGTCTAAATTCGGGACAATTAGCAACCATAGGAATTTTTATTGAAGTTTCACCAACATAATTTTCTTTGTCTGGTAGTTCAAATTTTAAAATACATACCAATCTAGCAGCTGCTGAATCCATAATTACACAATGTCTGTTTCACACAGGGCACACACTACATAGTCTAGGCAGGGACTGGGTTTTAAACCGTAGAGCACAGCCCCACCCGTTTTAAGTACCTTCGTTGACTACGAATTCAGTAAAGTACATGGCCAGAGCCATACTCTCCAGTCAAACGAGCCTGCGTGTCTTGATCATTGCCTCCCTTATATGTAATCCCATAAAACCGTTAATGCGTTGGAATTGCAACCCATGCCTTTTGAATCAGGTCATGGTGACTTTTTAAACTAATTTACATTAATTATCTCACTTCGCATGTAGCTTGGTTGCCATTATGTAACAAGTACGTGTGATCCCGACTTGTTATTGGGTTATAACGCTCCACTGATCATAACTGCTCAATAAGCATTGACACTTGGGATTGGACGCATAATTGGGACACATCACATCCAATCAGCATCACAATCGTTAATATCTGCAAATACAGCTGAAGTACAAATTCATTTTTCGCTCCGTTAAACGTTGAGAATCCATGAACTATTGACACTATTTTATTTCTCAAATCTAAGATGGTCTTTTTAAATCGGGACTGAAGTTTGAATGGTTAAACTGGAATATTTTCTAATCCAGAAGACCTGTACCTTTAGATGAGACGGAAACTAACGAGACACGAACAAAGACCTATTGAGGACTCAGTCGAGTGTCCAAGAGGAGACACCAACATTAATGATAACATAAGTTAGATTAACCTTTGAAAAGAGTGTCCAAAATTTGATTAACTTCGGCTCTAATTTCTTCTCAAACATTATAGGATGCATAAGAGGATTGGTGCTATATTTGTGACATTGTCTGTCATTAGATTGTTCAGCCTTGCAAACATTGCACCATTGACGGGAAGCAACCCAAGCGACTAGATTTGATTTATCCCAGAAATATAACCAAATTAATGGCATTAAGCCCTGCCCTACCCCGGGCGGTTCTTGGGAACAATCAAATAATAGTTTACACACTCGATTACATATATCACTCACAATTTTTTTTTTAAGGGACGAAAAGATTGCAGACGATGTAAGACACAGCGTCAACAGGACAAAGATTAAGACCGATATCCTAACACATCCGTGAAATTACAAATTACTACGATGGCAGAGTAATTGCTGTTGCAATAATTGAGAATGTGGTAATCTTCTTTTCGCTCTCATGCCGTCTTCCAGGTGATAATTCTAATGATTTGCCGATAACGACAGTCTTTATAACACGGGCATGATGGAAGGCATCTTTGGAGCTCTTTCGCTCGAGGAGACAGCATTTTTCGTTGGAGACGTGATTCTGACCATCAGAATGGTTGACTTAACAACAGCTTGCGCTGGAATATTTAGCTTTTTGCCAATGGGCAATTTCAATATTCATTGTAGGACTCTATGTTTTACCCTGGTATTTTTTATTGTCAACATGCTGCTTTGGTCGATCACAATCTCATGAGTAATCAGACATGTAAATTATTTACTTCAGATACAATGGTGCAAGAAGCAGGGATAAAGAAGGCACAATTTGTTTGAGCTGGGATCTGAACTTTTCATCTTTTCCGAAGGGGTGGAATCGTGTCAGAGACAGTGATATTTAAAATTCCATCCGGACTATTTTAGGCAGAAGGAACATTCCAGTGGCCACTGCAATACGTCCTGATGACGAAGGTACGTAACGTAATCATCAGCTATATGGAATCTGTCAAAACCAAACACTGACCAATCCCGATTTCTGTCAATAACGAACCACATTGACGAACCCTACTTACATAAATCATAATATTTCTTTCAACTTCGTCTTTATTTGTTATTTATTCAGATCTAATATAACCTCGAAAATGCGGACCACTGTCTAATTCGAACTGCTGTGCTTGCCACTGTAGTTGTCGTTTGTATAGCCGCACTGTACAATATGAAATCGAAGTCTGTATAAAAATTGAATTTTTAATATGATTTGATTATCATTTCAATGAATAATCAAAATTTTATCCGCCGAAACAAGATTCCATTAGCCGCAAAAGGCATAATAGCGGCGAAAATTACCATTCTTAATCATTTTGATTTTTGTATCAACAATTTCTGGTGTTTTGAAGTTTAAAGAACACTTGATCCAGATAAATGAGTCTCTTTGATAACTTGATAAAAATATGAGGGTGATATATTGGCTAGGGCACTTCATCGACAGTGATGATTCGCTGATGAAGTATTCAATACAAGCCACAAAGGCAGGGAAGGCTTAATCAAAGGAAACATTAGAAGAGAGTCTCTTACAACGATTAAAGTAGTCTGATATTTAAGCACACATTTTCCTCTCTTTTACAACAGTATTGTCCGCCTCAATGAAATTGGTATAAAATCATTACTGCAAAAGGCAATTCCCATCGATAAACATTTTTCTCAAGGTAAAGAAATTACTTTGGGGATTTATTCCTCATAAGATTCTATCTGCTTTCACTGATTCGACTTTGCAATGTCGTATTGAAATCAATCCACAAGTTTTCTGATAATCCCTTCTCCACCTTATTCAACAATCTCATCTTGTTCATTGAGCAGCAAGCACACGAAATTTGATTTTCGTTCGTTAAAAGATTTGTTGCTAGGAGGCTCAGAATGCGATGAGTTCAATTAAAATACGAGACCTGTCAAAGTCTCTGCTACATCTAAGTACCTAATTAAGCGTCTGCCAATGCCCTTTCTAAACATGACACGTGCCCACAAGGAGCAGACTCTCAAATTAAAGTAAAAGTACCCAGCAAATTCAGTTTCATAATTTGATAAAAAGCAGAATTGTACTCACGGTCCCTGAAAATCCAATATTTCCTCAAATAACAAAGTCCGGTTGATCAAAGGGAACGATCTTCTGTCCTAATTGACTTGGTTTCTGGTGTTTCTCGGGCGAGTTGGAGAAAGGGGTCACCTCCTTTATGTACAAGACCTGAAAATGCACAAACACAGCACCGGTTAAATAATGCATGTACCACAATCTCTGTTGGTTGTGAGGCAGCAGAAAAGAATAAATCAAATTTGCAGTAAGATCATTCAGACTTTGGTGAAATGGGAAATGAAAGCGTTAGGAATCAGAGAAGCATCACAAATACTTTGATCACACTTCGTGGATCCCTTCGATCTATTTAATATGCAGGTCTAAAAGGTCAGTCTTCTCAGCTCGAACTCAGACCTGCAAATTGACTTGCGCCACGCACAACTGACCCCGTTACACGCAAAATAGTCGGTCCGAAAAGAATACTCTAATTGTTTCAAATCAAGTCGATAAGAAATCGATAAATGATGGATGCGAAAAAAGGAAAGTAGGACATCTAGCATACTCCCTTTTACTCTAATTCATATCAATGAAAAAAGCGTTCATTGGAGAGTTCTATTTTCATAGAATATGTCAGAGGAACGGTGCCGCTGTAGATAATGAATGAGCCGAATGTCAAAAGTCAGCCGACGCCCTTGTATATTCATTTTCTCAATGGTACTAAAACGAGGGTAGTTCCGAATTACAACAACATCACTCAAACGAATTCTCCCATTCTGGAAACGCTTCACACATTCGATGCTGGTGAACTAAGCATTGAACCAGTTTCGGTAACAATGTCACGAAAAACCTTCATCCTTCTCCTTGAGGGCCTTCAACCGTCTGACATAAAGGATTACGAAGTTTGTAAAAACTGTCCAGAATATTTTTGGTTTGTAAATAGAACTTGACATTGATTACCGTACGTCGGTTGTCTTAGCAACATAACGCCATCATCGAGAAAATCACGATTCAGCCTTGTTCGTCACAACTTTCACCAGCCAAGGCTTTCAACGTTAACAAGCGTTAAGAAAGCTCTAAAAGTACGAAAAGTATCCAACTGACATCGAGAGCTCTAAAACCAAATGATTTCTTTCCCAATGATGATTAAAGAAATCTAAGTCAGTATTAACTGACACTCTACGCTCAATGATGGCTCTTGCTTCTATCAGCCCTAGAACCATGTACGTACGTTTATTGGTTTTTCTGTTTTAGTCACATTGTTTTATACAATGGAGCAATGCAACAAAATACAACTTATGCCAATAATTAGTATGCCATCACGATCATGGAGACGTACACTGACAGGCTTCGGTTAGTTACCTACTCTTGGAATCTAACCTGCGTCAGCGTGACGAACACACCCGTTTACCACGAAGCCAAGTATTAAAGACAGCTGGTAAAACGGATCAGGCAATGTCGATTTCTAGAAACTAAGTGCACCTCAGAAAGGACAGTTAAATATGAAAAGTATAAAATAACAGTCTTCGATATCCACCGGAACATATTCAATTGAGATGAAAGGCAAAATAGCGGTGGAAATTATTATATGAATAGAACACTGAAAATCAGTGATGACACCAGGTGTTCGCGAAAAAGGTAAGTACGCCCTGCCCTAACGGTAGCACCGCCACTCACACAATTTGCATCAGAAATGATTGAGTGAGCTGTGTGTGCAGTCTTTCGACTCTCAAAAACCAAATATTTTGTACCGTTTTTTCAATATATTCATCTGCCGTTTTAAACATTCACATGCAACTTTAAGATTCGAAGTATAAATCAATTAATCTTTTACAAGCATTTCCTCTGCAAGGTAATTAATTCAGAGACAAAACCATTACGAATGTTATCAAGATCTCGCAGGCAATCCATACATATGTAAATTGCACATCAGAAAATAGAAGCTATGAACACGCTGAACTTTGGGACCCGAACACAAACACGCCAATTAATATCAATAAATCTTCTACAGCAGGTATTTTCCTTGTCTTGTCCGTCAGAGGCTGCTTGAGGAACACCAGCCGACCACTTTCATTAATTCCGCCCTGAGAGTGCTGAAATTGCGCATCAACCGATTTTCCGCCAATGTACCACTCATCAGTGACTCATTGCATGATAATAGGAGAGCTTTTGCAATGTCTTGGTATGTATGAAGTTCACAAGCAACATCACATGCATACTTTTGATAGTCTGGTGAACTTTGTGGGCAGACACGGAGGCAGGGTGCTGTAGGGGCATTCAAACCGGTTCTTGTCAGATGTCAACGTATTGCTGGACAGCACATTGCCTACATTGTCTAGTAAAATCCAAGTACAGTGTGGGCATATGTTGTCGTGACAATGTGAATGTGGGTATGTTGGGGTTTCGTAATAAAGTAAACTGCCGGGCAAAAGAAAGTATACCCACATGTTTGATGGTGGCTAAGAATGACACCAGCAAGAAATTGTTATTCGATGGTAATGTATTTCATACGGGCATTACGTGCATTATATGTTACACGAGGTGAAGTGGAATGACGTCTCAATGAACATGGGGGTCGCAATTTCACAGTACACAGTACTGACCAGTGTGAGGTGCTTTAACTTCAATGATTATATTGATCTTGATATTTCAATGTCCATTATACCATTATCTTACATTTACCTTATTTACGACTATAACGGCTACAATGTCCAACCTTGTAAACCTGTCAAGTTGTGTGTCCTTTTCAAACATGAGGTAAATTTATTTGCCAAAATCTAATTACAACACAGAAAGCATTTGTTATATGGCTGAGTAGTTTTATCTGTATATCATTTAGTTTTGTTGCTCATAACTTAGAATGATGGCGTTGTATTACTGCTTATGTATCAACTCCTTTTTTATGAATGTGTATTACGTTCAGAGGTGAGACGAAACTAAAATATATCTCTGTCTGATATATTGTCATACTTTCGTAATTGTCAATCCTCGCATTACCTTTGCACTTGGTATTGTACACGGCGGGACGTAACTAACTATATTTTTCTTTGGGATAAAACCATTTTTCTTGAGCATTGTCATTGCAAAGACTTGAAGCTGAAAGCGTTGAATCTACCTGCTTTGATCAATGTGTTTGGTTGTCAAGTAAAAGGATGGCAGAAATAGTCAAATCTCCCTAGAGTGTCACGCTTGGGTTTGGTGTCTTGATAGCACTCAGATGGCTTACTGATATGACAGTGATATTATATAATCTTTTATAATTTCATATAATTTTCCTTTTAGTGGTAATAACACTGGTTCTTCTGAAGTCAGCTCAGGACATTTCAACAGCGATATGGATTAAAGTGTTCGCCGTTCCATGAGCAGTGCCATGGAATCCTGCATGACAAGGCATGGGGTTTAGATGTCTTAATGTACATATCGTCTGGATTTAAGTGATGCACCACAAGCATATACTGGCTCTATGGAAATGGTCTGTTTTTTTCGCGACTTCAAAGTAAAGCATGGAGGAGTGTTTTGTATGAGCGACTCTCCCCGAAATGGTTCTCTTTCTAGGCAGCCTTCCTCGAACAAAACCGGCCATTGATCCCTGAAAGCCAGACTCGAGCTGAGCTGTTTACCGAAACGTAGAGGGCAAATCAAAACTCGTCAGTTGATCGAAAACATCACCGCAAGCCTTGTTCCCCATCAGTAAAGAACATAAACGAAATCATTTGGATTGTTATTGGAAAACAAGGATTGAGCGCCATGTCTATTATGATTTTGAAGAATACATCTTTAGCTGCTGCAACACTACTGGATATTTATGTAATCTGGTTTGCAGAGTGTCACAATAGAAGGATGGTCAGCTACTCCAACGTCCGCGTGGTCTGTTTCATTCATTAACCAAAATTTGAACAGGATTTAAATTCGCTGTTTCGGCCTTTCCATGAACCATGCGTAAACATATTCAATGCAAATCATCTTCTTGGTTGCAAGAAAGCTGTGCTTAAGCAAAGACTGCCTTGGCACGTAGAAGGTAGAGATCATACAACAAAACCCTCCATCATTCTAAGAATCCTACATATTTTAAATCAGAATTTGTAATTCTTACACCATCAAGCTGACATTCGATCATCGATAAAATTTTATACAATAATAATTCAATATGCCGTTTTCAGTCACCACACAGCAGGGGTTGCCGGGAATAGCATTAGCAAATGGGACAAAGAACATGTCCTTCCAATACACTTTATGTAATGTTGCCTTCGCCATACTGAGTACTACAGCAGAGACCTCTGCTGCTGGTTTGCAAGTAATGAGGACTTGATTCATTCATAAAATCTAAAAATATTTTCAGCGCGACCCTCAGTAGATCTATGCAAACCCGAGAATTGCACGTTCGCCCTGACCACGCCATGAGCTGCACGCGAGTCCGTCATCATTTTCTACAAAGACTGCTCAATACCAACCCTGCTCCCTCGATCACTTTGGGCTATTTACTACGTCGACGGTGAAATCTGAGCTTAACCAAACGCTGATAGATCTGTTAGTGTTGTGGCGGGACCAAGTGCGATTGCTCGCAAATGCAACGTAAAACCAATGCAAACAGCAATTTGTTGAATGTGTAATTCACATATGAACACTTTCGTCTCTCAGTGTTTATTCTCTTCTCGCCTAACGCGGTAAAAATGACCACTTTAGTTACAAATCGTCAATTGGCGCTTGTACTGAAAATAGTGGTCCGATCGAATGCTGATGCCTCCTGAAACACCATTTGCGCATGTGTACCATTGTGACACAGTGCTTCCGCTTAAATCCAGAAATAAGCAGACGACGCCAAAAGGATCCCAGGCAAGAGAATAAGTTGTCAGATATTAACCAGACATTTATCTGAGGATAGACAATAACAAGAACAAGGAAGCAAAAGATAAACATGTGCTTACGGAAGGACACTATAGGGTCCGAACAACCAAGGTTGTGGTTGGTTAGTAATCAGTGATACCAGAGGAGATGACTGGGTTAGTAAAACCCGATCGTAGGCAAGCATAAGACAAGATAACAACTGACTGTAATGCACCAGTGCGCCAACAATGCACCATAGCGTATTAAGGGAAACGTAATTGGATAAAAGTCAAGAAGTGGAGCAGGGCTGGTCACAAGTTGATGTACTTCAGCCAGATATCATAAACGTG